GTCAGCATTTTCTTCCCCTTAATGGGTGAATTGATCCCTCTAATATTCCAAGATATACAAGTTAGATGGACCATAATTTAAGTTTTTTATGTGAATATCTTGGACAGGTACGTGTCATGGTATTCAACTCTGGGGATTTCTGAACACTTTCCTGCTTTTGTGCGTTTCGATGTGGTGAAGCTCTGCACATGGGTATAACAGTAAGATACGGCCTAGACCAGGGAGCTGTGTGAACAGTTGCGTAAGTGTGAGTAAAATTTTTGGTAAGAGACCATACATAACCCCAAAACGTTAAAGTAAAAACCGGCCTCATAAAACCCCTGTAACAAAACCACATTAGGTAGGTAATTCAGCTAAACCATAGTGGTGGCCCAGGCAGCTGCTAAGGTTGAAACTTTAGCCACTCTCGGTAAAATATTTACAGCGAAGTACTGAATTTATCTTTCAGATAACGTTGTGCTTCGGCAGGAGTGGAGAAAATTTTGATAGATCCCTGGTGCCTGATGCGAAGTTGCGCTGGGTACATCCGAGCATATTCAATCTCCTTCTCTCGCAGCCTCTGTTTCATGGAACTCGTCTCTTCGTTGCAGGTCTGCGCTGTAATCCGAGAAAAACGATATTTTCTTATTCTCGCATGTCATCTCTCCCCTACTTCTAGCCAGTCTGACGACTTTTTCTTCGTCTCTGAAGTTCAGGAACTTAGCGATGAGAGGCCGTGGTCTGTCAGACCTCTTCCCGACGCGGTGTGCTCTTTCAAGGGTAATGTGTGAGGTGACGTTATCATTCCCCAGGATTTCTGGTATAAATTTCTCCAAAAATCCCACAGCGTCTCGGCCTTCTGCTTGCTCCGGGATGTTCAGTATCCTAAGGTTGGACCTTCTACTGCGGTTCTCCAAGTCGTCGATTTTGTCTTTGAGTTGCGTTGTCAATTTCTCCATTTTATCGTCACGGCTGCGTGCATCTTTAATGTCGTCTTCGTTTGCGCTCACTCACGCCTCCATCTCTTCAACTCACTCAGAAAGCGCATTAAGAGAGGATTCAATTTTTGTCAGGGTTGTTTGTATGTCGGCCGTTTTTTTGTTAATGTGGTTCGTGAGGTCCTCTTTAGTTTCCTTGATAGCATTGAGTAGTTTCTTAATTGGCAGTTCCTCCTCCCCATTCGCCATATTTCTTGTTGCTGATATGTTCAGGTGCCCTGAAGTTTTAGCCGTTTTCTTTCGTTTTGAGTGTCACAAATTATAACTTGCCATACAGAAGTTAGTAACTTTGCCTCTTACTATGGTCCAGAATTATATGAGGGCAAATCAGGATAAAGAGAGATTCCTGGGCCTACCGCCGAGAGCTCACGAATACACGTCTACTCTCTTCCGCTGTCAGCCATCATTCCCGTTCCTGGACTCCTTAATAAAGCTAGAAACATCTGGACTCCATGGTCAGGACCAGCCCAGGCTTCAGATCCATGGAGCACACTGGGTACCAAACCAAAGGCTCCAGTGAGCTTCAGTCCACCAATGACCTAAACCCAGGACCATGGTACGAAGCACTGGGAGACGGTCCTGACTCCACCCCTCACTCTCAGGACTTCATCCAGTATTTCAGCTTCCTGGATGAACTAAGTCTGCTCACTGGAGGACAGTCTTTGGTCCCCATCTCCAGGAAGATCACATGGATCAAGCTCCTGAAGGAAACTTATACACCTCCAGGTGGCATCTCAAGAATGTCAGCACCTCCTCCACAGCATCCTGCAGCACCTCGACTTCCACCCACAGCAGGCTGGTCCATGACACCACAGCTGATCCCAGCCTGGTCTTCACTCCATCCTGCCTCACAGCTGTGGTTACTGATGACATCATCCTCAGGAACATCAGGATGAAGACAGAAAACCAGATGTTCTGCATCTGTTTGGAGTCCTGGAGTCTCTGAACTGCCACACTTTCATCTTAGTGCAGTTTCAGTCTGCTGGTCTCACACACCTGTCTGTCACCAGTCTGTTGTGTTAGTCTCATAGATAACATCAACCTGCTGTGGGAGCACAGAGGGCTCTATCAGAGGGACGGTCTGCAGACTAACAGAGCTGGTCCTCACATGATGTCTGTGAACATATTCTGTATAGTTTACAGGCCTCACATGTGTCATCAAACCTCCACATTCACCAACCGAGCACCACGTCCCTCAGTGAGCGTCCAGCAGGATCTGTGACAGATGACAGAACAGCTGAGACTCAGTGTTGATGATCAGACTCCTCCAGGTCAGCAGGTCCAGGAATGATCAGCAGAGATGGTGTCAAAGATGGAAAATATTCACATTTAGCTAAATATTTTTCTCAGCTTTACCTTTCGAGCAGAAGATCTTTGTTCTCTGTGGATCAGAGTATCTATTCTTGTGAAACAGCCTGTCATATTTAATCAGCAAGAAAACTGAATTAAACTGACCTTTCTTCCTTTGAGCTTTCAAACATGAGACTTTACAGCACAGCTTGATTCTTTTATTGAAACTAGCCCTTACAGTTTGATGTTACAGATCCTGATTCTTTTAGATGGTAAGAATGATGAAAGTTTGAGGCTTTTATCTTCAATGATCTCAGTGAAATTCATGTTCAAACATGGAGTCAGTGTGTGAACAATAAACATACTTATTTAAACATATAAGATGTATATCTTATCTTTAAACATGCGTCTTATACGACCATCACATTTTTATGATACCAGAGATGAACATATAGAAGACCCACAATGATGACTCACCTGCACATGTAAGCTGTGTGACAGCAAAGAGCTGATTGGCTGATAAACAGCAGAGGAAACACTTGAAAATCTTCTTGAAAAGTTGATTCTGTTCATCTGGACGTAGCGTTTTGTGGGAGAAACGTTTCATCATCATCAGGTGACGTCTTCAGTCTCAGCTGACAGCAGGTTTCAATCTTATAAACAGGACATTTTCATAATGACTGAAACCAGCCCACTGAGGGAACAATGGGCTGGGAGGTCAGTTCCTTAATCTTAATTATGCAAATTATCATCACCATTGTTCAACAACCACTGACCAAAACCCACTGATCAAAGCTCACTGATCAATAACCATGAGTACCATTCACAGAGAGTTGGTGAATGGCTGCAATCACAGCATTGTAAGATAGTGACGGATGTACCCTTAGGCCCCTCCTCGATTCAGAGATGATCTTTCCCTTTTCACGTAAATGGCCTCCTTGACTCCGCCCTCAAACCAACGTTCCTCCCTGTCCAGGATGTTACATCCTCATCATTGAAGGAGTGTCCACTGGCCTGTAGGTGTGAATAGACTGCAGAGTCCTGGCCTGACAAGGTGACTCTTCTGTGTTGTGCCATCCACGTAGCCAGATGTTGTTTGGTTTCCCCGATGTATAAATCCTGGCAATCCTCCTGGCACTTAACAGCGGCTTGTGTCGGCCACCAGCAGACAGGACAGACTCCCCAGAGCCACCTGGAAACAGACGACCATGTGGGAGCAGCGGAGTGCTGGAGCAGCTCTCCAGAGCCCCCAGCGGACACGATGGGTGAAACTGGGGAGCCCATGGCACACCCATGTTTCTGCCTGTAGTACTGACCCTTGTATGTGAAGAAGGTGGAATGAAGACACAGTTCAAACACACTTGGTCGATGCTGAGAGCGGTCCTGTTGCTGAGGTTGGGGTCATCCTGTAATCTCTTACGGACTACCTGCAACGCTTCCGTGACTGGGATGCAAGTGAAGAGAGATGTAACGCCGTACGAGACCATGGTTTCATCTGCCTCCATAATGACATCTCTCACCTTCTCAACAAAATCCAGGGTGTTCTGGATGTGGTGTTCAGAGCTGCTCACCAGCGGGTTGAGGATCGAAGCCAGAAGCTTGGAGATGTTATAGGTGACCGAGTTGATCATGCAGATAATCGGTCTTACAATGCTGTGATTGCAGCCATTCCCTAACTGCCTGTGAATGGGACTCAGGGACATTGATCAGTGGTTGTTGATCAATGGTCATGAGAATTTGAATAATTATGACTAAGGAACTGACCTCCCAGCTGTTCCTTCAGTGGGCTGGTTTCAGTCATTATGCAAATGGATACTAACAAATACTGTTTATAAGATTTGGGGACATGCAACCTGCAGTTGTCAGGATTCCTGTGTCATTGACCCAGTATTTTCAGTTCATGCTCTCTGTTTATCTTCTGTATGTTCCACTTCCTCTTTTGTGTTAGCGTTACTTTGTGTCCATTATGTTCTAGTTCTTATTCCATGTATTGTTAGTTCAATTATGTTCAGCTGCTCACTCACCTGTCACCTATCAGTCATTATTCAGCCTGTATATTTAAGTCCTCAGTTCTCTCCTGGTCTTTGTCGCGTCATTGATATCGTCATTGTTGTTGTTCCTGCCTATGTTCAGTCAGTCTCTCAGTCAGTTAGTCAGTCCTGCCGTTCCTGCTTTGTTCATTCTCTCGATCCAATAAATATGCATCATTTTTCACCGTGAGTCCTGCGTTTGGGTCGTCTCTTCCTCGCCTCCACACACGACACGCCTGACAGCAGTCAGCTGAGACTGAAGAAGTCCCTTGGATGAGTGGCGAAACGTTTCTCCCACAAAACGCTACGTCCAGATGAACAGAATCAACTTTTGGAGATTTACTTTCCTGGATGATCGAGAATGCATCAAGATGTTTTAAACTGGAAACTATTTAAATAAGAAATGAAGTCATATTTCACAGTGTTTTTAAACAAACTGAATCATTTTATTAAAATAAAGTTGGTTTTATTCTGAAAATCCTAAGAGTGGAAACTGATCTGGCTGAACTTTATTTTGAAGAGTCTATAAATATTGATTATTGATTGGTGCTGTCTGTCAGATCATGTTCACCTCCAGCTGCTGTCTGCCTGGACACTGATGACATCATGAGCTGTGAGCTCTGTGATTGGCTGCTGTGTGTTAGAGCTCAGCTGCACTTTCAGTCACTCACAGACTCTCACACACACTCTGTGAAGTCCACACTCACAGTTTAACTGTCAGAGAGCTGCTGATGAAGATGAAGGAGCTGCTCCTCTTCCTCTCCTGTGTCCTCTGTGTCTCTGCTGACGGTGAGTTTGTCTCTGTAAACAGCAGCTTATTGATCAGGTTATTGATCAGGTCACTGATCAGTGTTTGATGTGTTTCAGCTCTGCACAGTGACATTAGTACCGTTGGCTGTTCAGACTCTGATGGAGAGAACATGTATGGACTGGATGGTGAAGAGCTTGCCTACGCAGACTTCAACAAACAGGAGTTTATCTACCCTCTGCCTCCTTTTATTGATCCTATGACTGTACCAGGAGGTTATGAATCATCTGTGGCTTTTCAACATACCTGCAGAGAGAACATGAAGCTTTTTGGTAAAGGCATGAAGGACTACCCTCCTGAACAGGGTAAATACAACATGTAACACCTGTCTCACCTCACCTGTGTTTACCTGCACGCTCTGTAGAGTAACACACTGATGACATCATCAGCACTGATTTACTTTGTCCAATCAAAATAATTCCACCTTGAACACATTCAGACTGATCATGTGTACAGAAACACTGACGTGTTTATATTTGTGTTCATGTTTCAGTATTTCTGAATGCAGTATTCTGCATTTACTGCAGATCAGTTTATATTATTTTCCTCCTTTTAGTTCCTCTGAAGCTGAACTGAGTCTGTCTGTAGTTTAACTTCATGATTCTGACCTCACTCTAGCTTCTCTCACACAGACAGTGATGACATCATCTGAGTGAACACCTGAACGTTTTATTGATGTTTATTATCATCATGATCACCTGCTGATGGGAACCAGCTGAAGCTCTGATCGTGCTGTTCCTGATGTGTTTGTGCACAGATGCTCCTTCAGCTGTGATGATCTACACCAGAGATGAGGTGGAGTTTGGAGAGAAGAACTATCTCATTTGTTACGTGACTGGTTTCTATCCTGCTCCTGTCAACGTCTCCTGGACTAAGAACGGACAGAAGGTCACTGAAGGATCCAGCATCAACGTTCCCTATCTAAACAAAGATTGGACCTTCACCCAGATCTCCAGACTGCAGTTCACCCCACAGCAGGGAGACATCTACAGCTGTGCAGTGCAACATCTGGCCCTGACAGAACCACTGACCAAAATCTATGGTGAGAAAACTTTATTTAAACACAGAACACTGACAAAAATACAGAGGTGTCTGTCTCCAGATGTGAAGACTGAGCCCAGTGTTCATCAGAACAGCTGGATCTGATCTGAGCTGACAGTTTGAGACAGATGTATGTTTTTCCTGTTTGTGTCTAGATGTGTGGTTCATATTCTCTGTGTTTGTGTCTCCAGAGGTGGAGGCGTCCGCTCGCTCTGATCCAGGTGTTGGACCCTCTGTGTTCTGTGGAGTGGGTCTGACTCTCGGTCTGCTCGGTGTGGCTGCTGGAACCTTCTTCCTCGTCAAAGGAAACGAGTGCAGCTGATTGGCTCACGGTGATGATGTCATCATAGTTCTACAATGAGCTCATAATGAGTGTGTGTTATTGTTGTGTGTGCAGAGTTCACCTGTAATGAACTTCTGCTTCCTGTCTACCTGTCTCACCTGCTTTAGGTTAATCTCCTGTATGAGCTGTCCTGTCACCATCTGTGTCAATAAGGTTCAACTCTGGGATTCAAAGCAAACTAAAGCTCCCTCGTCACAGTGAGTATCTCCACCATCCATCCAGCAGATTCCACCTGGAACCTTTTCCTGCCACAAAAACAAAGGAGACAAAAGTCAAATTAATGAGACTGAAATCAGTTTTATCTGAACTCAGTGTCAGGAGATCTCAGTGTGTTCATAAACTTCAAAGTAATAAATCCACAAATTTGTCTGAGTGTTCTTCCTGTGTCTTTACAAATATTCATGGATCCATTTCACTCTCTGTGGTTTGTTTCTGAGTCAGGAGTGTCTGAGCAGGTTCATGTTTCCTGTTTATAATCATGTGATTATTATCATGCTTCCCTTCATTGGCTTCCTGTTAAATCCAGAATTCAAAATCCTGCTCCTCACATACAAGGTCTTAAATAATCAGGCCCCATCTTATCTTAATGACCTTGTAGTACCATATCACCCTATTAGAGCACTTCGCTCTCGCTCTGCAGGCCTACTTGTTGTTCCTAGAGTATTTAAAAGTAGAATGGGAGGCAGAGCCTTCAGTTTTCAGGCCCCTCTTCTGCGGAACCAGCTTCCAGTTTGGATTCAGGAGACAGACACTATCTCTACTTTCAAGATTAGGCTTAAAACTTTCCTTTTTGCTAAAGCATATAGTTAGGGCTGGACCAGGTGACCCTGAATCCTCCCTTAGTTATGCTGCAATGGGGTCTGGGGGGCTGTCCCAGGCTCTGTGGGGCCAGGCAGTGCTGCTGCACTGGGCCCCGGTCCGGATGGGCCTGAGCCCCCTTTCCCTGGCGGGTCGCGGAGTATGGGAGTGCCTACTGGGGTCAGCGGGGGAGCTGGCCCCAGGGAGGGGTCACTTGCCCGTCCCTTCCTTCCCTCCCCATCTCCAGCTGCCTCCCTCTTCCAGCTCCACCACAATCACCCACATATGCAGTGCCTTGGGGTGAAGGTATGTCACCAGGGTGCAGGGGAGGCATCCCCCCCCCCCCTCTGTCCCCTTCTGGCTGCCTCTGCCTCAATTTTATCTCACAACTTAGACATCCACATTAGTCACACCCTCATTACACATACATATAGGATCTTGGGGGTGGGCACGATACACGGAGTCCAAGTTATCATCAGGGTGTACACCCCACCCCTGGCATCGTTGCCCACCTCTCAATGTTAAATACACGTAGACATTGAGGGCTAGCAGGAGGGACTATGCGCTTACCTGCTGCTCTCTGGCAGGTAGCTCCATGCCCTCCTGGGTTTTAAATGCACCTTAGAACACACATGCATCAACATTACAATGAGTGGGTGGAGGGAGGTTTGGAGTCTTCTCCCACCCCCGTTCTCTGCGACCTGCTGGAGTGGGGGGCTAGGAGGAGGAGTTGGCCGTCCGACTGCGGTCTGGAGTGTGGGGCCTCCCTGCTGCTGCGGAGTCGGGGTGGTCTGCCTCCCCCCACCGCAGGGAAAAGGGTAACACCACCTGGGTCTGGGTGCAGTTCCCCCCTCCAGGGGCAAGGGTACCTAGACCCGGTTCGTAGAGTACGCTTGGGGAGTGTGATCGTGTGTACAGCGTCTCTTTATGTCTGTCTCCATGTTGGGTGAGTGTGGAGTGAGTGCATATGAGAGCATGAGGGTGGGAATGGATGTTTGTGTCTGTGTGTGCCTGTATGTCTGTGTCTATATGTCAGGTTGGGTATCAGACGCCACCTCTCTGGGGACACCTCAGGCCCTCCAAGGTTTGGAGGCCTATCTCCACCCACCACCACTTCCCCTGCCGGTGGCGGACTCCCTCAGGTGTCGGTGCGTTGGTGGTTCTTTGTGTCTGGGGTGGGCGTCCAGGTACACACCGGCTCACTCCTTGGCGGCTGCTTACCGGGGCCTGGAGCTCTGGCCACTTCGGAGGTGGGGTGCTCGGTCACTCAGGCACGGCTGGCTGCCGGCGGAGCTCACGGGCGCGTCACTGCACCCCCCCCCTGGCTTCTGCTCCGCGGCTGCTGAATGAGCCCTCATCTGGGACTCTCCTCAGCTCTTTCTGGGACAGTGGCGCGGCTGCCCCTCTGTGGGTCTTCCATGGTCTGTGGTGTTCTGGAGTTTTGATCTTCTCCATAGTCAATCAATCAATCAATCAGTCTTTATTTATAAAGCACTTTTCATACAAAAAAAATGTAGCACAAAGTGCTTTACATAGTTAAAAGCAGCCCACCCCACCCTCCAACTCACTCCCCACACTCTCAAAACATAAATGATGTGAATACACACATATCCCCCCCCCCCCCCCCCCCCCCCCCACACACACACACACACACACATACGCACACTTAAAGAATAAAAATTGGGCTGGGTTCACATGAGCCAAGTGAGGAAACACTATAACAGGGAGTCAAAGGAGCTTGGAAAGAAAAGCGTCTGGACTTCTTTAAGTTACTTGAAGACGTTTCACCTCTCATCCGAGAAGCTTCTTCAGTTCTAAGGTCAAATGGTGGAGAGTCCCAGATATAAACCTAGTGGGAGTGACCCCTCACAGAGGGACAAAAGGACCCCCCGATGATCCTCTAATCGCCTGAGCCAAGGTGTGAAACTGGGTGTGGGCTCCAATCAGCCAGAGTTTCGGGTGTGTTCATTGTGAAACCTGGCCCCACCTTATCATGTGAATTCCTGAGGTCAGATGGCCCAGGATGTGAGTGGGCGTTAAGGTGTCTGGGAAGGGATCTCAAAACTGGATTATAGATGGCAGAGAGTTGGTGTCGTAAACCCCGCCTCTGTTCAAAGATGGTCGCTCACAGTGGACATAGATGCTTCTTTCACTCCTCTTTCAAACCATCTGTCCTCTCTGTCCAAAATGTGAACATTGGCATCCTCAAAGAGTGTCCTTTATCCTTAAGATGCAGATGGACTGCTGAGTCTTGTCCTGTGGAGGTGGCTCTTCTATGTTGTGCCATGCGCTTGTGAAGTGGCTGTTTGGTCTCTCCAATGTAGAGGTCTGGGCATTCCTCGCTGCACTGTACAGTAGTGATGGGATTTCCGGCTCTTTTTAGAGATCCGGCTCTTTCGGCTCGGCTCACTAAAAAGAGCCGGCTCTTTCGGCTCCGATCCGGCTCTTCAGGTTGTTTTGTTGCTTTAATTAATTTATTATTCACAATAATATGAAATTATGCACAAAAGGAATTACTAACGTTAAAAAAAAGTGGTTTTATTTATATATGTTTATATATAAATATATGCGGTGGCCCCTAGAGACAAAACACGTACAAACTCCAAAACACATTTCTAGCATGAACTGAACTTCCAAAGCAGAGCTGCTAGATCACTTAAATTACACAATTGAAAGCATGTGTGTATTGTTTGTGTATTTATACACAGGCACTCATATATATTCAAATAATTTAAAAAAAAGTTCATTTACCTGTTACTACCACACACCAAATCCGGTCGTTGGTACTTGCTGGCTTATGTAGCCACTAGGTAAGAAAAGCTCAACACTGCGCCCAGCATCCTGGAGCACTTCTGTTGTCTTTTGTACGTGTTTTGAGTTTTTATGTGCTTCTTAGTTTTTACGTGCTTCGGAGTTTTTACGTGTTTTGGAGTTTATACGTGTTTTGGAGTTTGTACGTACTTTGTCTCTAGGACCACCGTAAATATACTTTTATTTATTCACTCCACATAAAATGTAATAAATAAATTATATAATACAAAAAACAATTAGTCACAGTTCAACTTTTAACTATTTAAATTTACAGCTTTTTCCTTTTAAACAAATTTAAAGTGAAACAACACAAAACACTGCAAACCACAACACAATTAAATATAAATTATAATATGAAAACAGAAAGAAGATGCATATTCTCTGTCATATGGACCTGCATGAATAAACTTTCTCAATCCTTTATCATCTGCAACCGAAAATAGTTGTGGATGATTACTATACCTTTCTAATGTGACGTTGTTGTCCCTGGCTCTCTTTCTCTCTCTCTCTGGCTGTTCCTGTGCTACTGAGTGTAACTACCGCCCCTCCCCCCTCTGCCCAGTGTAAAGCACAAGGCTCGCGTGCTGAGTGAAGCGGAAAAAAGTGCGAGAGAGAGAGAGAGAGAGGGTGAGAAAAAGAAAAACAAAAAAAACACGTAACGGCTCGCGATAAGGAGCCGGCTCGCGTCATTCACGTCAAAGAGCCGGCTCTAAGAGCAATTTCGTTCGCGAACGACCCATCACTACTGTACAGCAAACACCACATTGTTAAGTCTGTGTTTTGGCATTTTGTCTTTCCTTTCCTTTGACTACGATGACCTGGATGACTGAGAACCTTCACAGACATCTCCTCCATACCTGCTTCATGCCCTGGAGGACGGGGCTGTGGCCCCCCCACACCCTCTAGTGCAGGGGTGTCAAACTCAAATACACAGTGGGCCAAAATTCAAAACTGGAACAAAGTCGCGGGCTAACGTTAATATTTATCGAAATATATTTATTCCTCCAGATATAAGAATGAATCTTTTCTTATGGACTCAAACACGTTTTGCTGAAAAACTGAATATGGAACAAGCAAAGCTTAATACTAAACAATATATATATTAGCTGTATAATACCAGTAGGCCAGCTCTAATAGTAATTTGGTATGGCTTCGTGGGCCAAATGTAATTAGGCTGCGGGCCAAATTTGGCCCGCGGGCCAGAGTTTGACACCTATGCTCTAGCAGATCATTACATGAAGGAACCTTTTAAAAAAACAAGCGCATTCATGCTCACAGGTGTACACATGGGTGATCACACCCACAAACTACAACCTTTTTGGCTCCTACCTCAAAGCACACTGTGTTCTGTTGATCTTATGTGCTGCACAATAATGTTTAATATTTAGTATTTACTGTCATATTCCCATATATCATTGTGATGTTGTTTATTCTATTACTCTTGTTCTCTTCTGCTTGTTTTCTTTTTTCTTTCTCAGCAGGTGATCCAGGTGATCGATAGATGCATTTTTTTCTCTGCTTATTCTCTTGGTTTTTGTTTTTTTGCCCTTCTCCCCCGTCCCTCTTCTCTGCTGTTTTTTCCCCCTCTTTCCTTTCCTCATTCAAGTCTGTCCCGTATCTAGCAAGTGAAAATAAAAATAAAATAAACAATAAAAGGTGAATCAAATAGACCATTACGGCAAGGCTGGGATGGTCCATTTGGTAAAGTCCATCTGTTGGGCATCTTTCTTCGCCTTTAAACAATAATTCTGATGGCAAAAGAACCAAACAGGACAGGCAGAAAAAAGAAATAAAGTTATGCTGCAATAGACGTAGGATGCCGGGGATTCCCATGATGCATTGAGTTTTTCCTTTCCAGTCACCTTTCTCACTCACTATGTGTTAACAGACCTCTCTGCATTGAATCATATCTGTTATTAACCTCTGTCTCTCTTCCACAGCATGTCTTTATCCTGTCTTCCTTCTCTCACCCCAACCGGTCGCAGCAGATGGCCCCGCCCCTCCCTGAGCCTGGTTCTGCTGGAGGTTTCTTCCTGTTAAAAGGGAGTTTTTCCTTCCCACTGTCGCCAAAGTGCTGCTCATAGGGGGTCATATGATTGTTGGGTTTTTCTCTGTACCTATGAAGCGCCTTTGTTGTGATTTGGTGCTATATAAATAAAATTGAATTGAATTGACTTCATTGGTCACAGATGACGTTACTGAATTCCAGTATTTGAAAGCAATTTCAGATTGAACACACAGGCCCTTTAACTCTAATAAAAGAGTCTGTGTGTGTGTGTGAGTCTGCTGATAACAGCAGTTTAAATAAAAATCAGTGAGTGTTTATAGAAATGAATCCAACATGTTTATATTCCTGCTGTAACATGTTTTAATATCTGACATTTCTGAAGTATGGAAGGCATCCCTAAAACAAGTAAAGGATTAATGAGATAAACCAATATAAATGGAAACAAAGTTCATAACAGCTTATAGAGTTTACACATGTACCTGTACTTGAAAAAAAAAGATCATTTCTAATGAGAATGCCTTTAATACCTTTTCATAAATCATAATAGGCTCGTCACCCATCTGGCTGTTAAAGAGGCTGCTGTTTCTAGGAGCCGCCACCTGGAAAACACAGAAATTGTAATTGTGCATGAAGTGTATGCACACCCAGACAATGTGTAGTTTTTAAAATGTGATGATATTTGTGTGTCACAGCTTTTAAAACATGCTTTAACTGACTGCAGTCATTTTAATGCAGACAGACTGCCAACATGCTGCAAACAATCGAAATAAGACTGCATGATGGGCCTGGCGTCAACGTGTTAACGAGCTAACCGCGCTAACACGTTGATTTCGTGCAGCCCCTCGCACGGGCCGATCTGTGGTAACTCGTTAACGGAGATTTGCCGTGTTAATGCAGTAATGGCGTTAACATCATTGCAATTTTCACCAGCTAATAATAGTTAATTGACATATTAACACAAATGCCAGCTTGACCCCACTGAGTCGAAATCTTAATGACGTTTTATCGCTGACTTGATGCACTAAAGTTGCTTTACCGTCTGCAAATGGTTTGGTTGTACCACAGTCTCCAACCACTGTTTTCCCAAGTGTTACTGTAGCACAAAGGAGCCTGGTGGTGCTACTTTGGGAGGAAGTTGGGCTTTGTAAATGAAAATTTATTGAAAAAATGTTTTTAACCGTGTAGGCATGTTAGCTTTCACACTTACACATGGATTAGTGGACTTGTCGGTGCATAGGCAGGAATTTGGGATGTTGAACTTCCAGTCCCAGTAGCTCTCCAGTCCGCAACACTCCAACTGACATGGAATCAGAGAAGAAAATAAAGAGACAACAGCAAAACAACCATCTCCTAATCCCTTCTATAAACAGTTAAGTCTGACCAAACAGCATCTGATCTGTGCTGCTGAAAACTGTATCAGTCATGCCAGGACAGTGTGGTGGTATTTTTGGAAAAATATGTCCGTCACAAACAAGAAATTTATGAGTGTTATCTTTCTTTTGTTGAAATCAAGAATACTGCATTTCTTCTCTGTTCTCACTAGAGTTCTCTATAAAACATTAAAACAGCTATTTTAAGTTGCTAATATTATAAAAAGAGCATGTGCCTAGCATCCAGTTAAGTTGTGTATCAGCATTGTTTAGTTACGCCATTAGCCTTACATATTGTATGTGAGCTCTGTTTTTAGTTAGTTTTGTTTGATCACCTCTGAAACTACTTGGAACTGCAATTCTACAAGATTATACTTACAAAAACTGGCACGGGCTATCCATTATCGTTGCTCACAAACATCTCTATGACCTCATCGGCTATTATTTCCTTGTGCTGTGTGTACACTACTGGCTGCAAGTAATTTTCAGTATAAGCTGGCAATATGAAGCCTCAAATTGATGCTGCAAAATTTTGTTATCTGAAAAACCTTAAATTCGTTTACTCATTAATGGGTGGTGAAGCTAGATGAATAGCACACACACACGCACATCTTCACTCACAACTTCACAACACAAGGTTACCTACTTCTGTCTGTATAAAGAAAAAGAAAAAAAAAGAAATGAATCCAACATGTTTCTAACGCTGCTGTAACATGTTTTAATATCTGACATTCCAATGACTGAAGCAGCATTTACACTGACTCTGACAATCACGTTGAGATGAACTCTTTTCCTCGTCAACAGTCTGATCACTGACACATCTATGAGCTGAAACGTGCTGTTAGACTCTGACTGAATGTCTCCATTGAATATGATTTAGTCTGTGTGAATATCTAAACAGAAAATGTGAATTACAAACATTTAAAGTTCATCTGAACCTTTGCTCTGAATGTAGCAGTGAAATGTGATTCAGCTGCTCTGGAGCCTGAAACTGAAAAATAAATCTATACTACATAATACATCACACTGCACATTAACTAAGAAACACATTTCATGTTTGGGACGCATTGTCTGTCCAGTATCCATGAGATCTGTGCCGTCCACACAGAGGAACATCAGAGCTCCACAGAAATGTTTCACAATAAGAGTGTTTCTGTCCTTTTAAGTTTAAATATAGACACAGGAAGTGTGAGTATAAACAGTGTGATGCAGTAAATTCAATTGATCAAAAGTACTGAGAAAGAGAGGATTACTTATTATTAATGAAGAAGAAGAGGACAGGTGTGTAAATATGACCCCTGTTAATATGAGAGGTTATCATTATTATTACAGCAGTGCATTAGTGGTTGATTTAATGTGGTGGCAGGTAATTAGATTCATGAGCTCTGACTGAATACAAATGAAAACAGGAGATTTTGAGTAAAGAGGAAATGTGCTGATGATGTCACAGAGTGCTGCTCTCTGCTTTTAAAGCTTTAAAGCAGCACACTCTTCTTGGTAACAGATGATGCTGTGGTCATGTGACCTCTCCTCTGTTTTTAGAGCAGCTCTCAGTCAGACTGAGTCAGTTTGTCAGGAGAACTCAGGAACATGGCTTCATCCTTCCTCTGCCTCAGCCTCCTCTTCATCAGCTTCAGCACAGCAGGTACTATCAATACACTAATCAATACACTGCAGAGATACACTGATCTGTAATCAGTATAGTGATCAATAAATGCATCAGTGATCAGAATCAGAAAGGGTTTTATTGCCAAATGTTGAGCAGATTAACAACAGTAGGAATTTGCTGCGGTGCTTAGTCGCCTCTGTCAGTGCGCCCCAGGGTGGCTGTGGCTACAATGTAGCTGCCATCACCAGTGTGTGGATGGCTGGATGTTGTGTAAAGCGCTTTGGGGTCCTTAGGGACCAGTAAAGCACTTTACAAATACAGGCCTTTTACCATTTACTTAGTGCAAAACATTCTGTCAGACAACGCTTAAATAAAGATAAAAATAAGAATTAAAAGTGCTAAGTAGATAGATGTATACATGATCAACATAAGTTATTTGTACATCTGTACTCAGCAGGTGTGATCAGCTCACAGTCTGATGTTGTGTTTGTCCTCAGATGGATTCAAAATGTTTGTGGTGTCTCGCTGTGACTTTAACTCCACTGAGCTGAAGGACATCGAGTACATGAGATCTTACTATTACAACAAGATCGAGGTCACCAGGTTTGACAGCAATGTGGGAGAGTATGTTGGATACACTGACTTTGGAGTGAAGCAGGCAAAGCACTTTAACAGTATTCCAGGACAGCTGGCTACATTGAGAGCTCAGAAGGAGACGTACTGCCATAACAACATTGGTGTCTGGTACAGCAACCCTCTGTCTAAATCAGGTGAGTGTGCTGGTCTGTGTGACATCATCAGGTGTTCATGTTGACCTCACTCTGAATCATTCATGATGGACTCACAGCTGCAGGTCAGACTCTGGTGATCAATAACTGTAATAAATCATTGACTCTGAACACTCTAACCTCAGTCTGTGGCGCTCCCTGCTGGTGAAACAGGCAAACTGCAGCTGTTCATTATAACGCACTGATGATTTATTAAACCTCTTTAAGCTGAATTATTGCTCATATTTATTTTTAAATATTTCCATATAAATATTTCTAACAGCATGAAGCAACCTGACAGGTTGATAAAACACTTTTTCCTTCTTATCTTCTAATTCATTTATTTTAATTCAGACAAAATTGAGAAACACTGATGTTTGTTTAAAGGCCGTCTGCAGTTTATTTATTGATTCTGACTTTCAGAGCTTGTGTAGCAGCTTCACACCTGCACACATTACAGCTCAGATCTATGAGTCAGTGTAACAGTGGAGCTATTAAATATACTGAAACAATTATAAAGTTCCCATTACAACCCAGAGGAAACACACACAGATATTTTCCCCTGTCTTTTTAAATAATTTATTGGCTATTTTGGCACTTAATGTTCATATTTATTTCAGCATTTTGTGACTGTTTGTCTGTGAAAAGGACTCAATGAATAAACTTGACTTACTTGAATGAAATCAGCTCGTAGCAGCAGCTCAGAGAAGCATGAGGAGAACCAGCTCAGACCTCCTGTGGAGGGGAAGCTGTCTGAGAGTGGAAACTGATTCTGCATCTTCTGCTTTTGGGCTATAGATGGCTAGATTTACGAGTGCACATAAATGCACCACGAGTGTTGACCAGGCTGTTTACAGGAGTGACTTCGTCTCTGTGCAGTGAGCAGGAGAGCAGAGCATTTTCCTCCATCAGCCAGCAGCTGTGTTGTGACCCATCTGTGTGTGACTTGTGGATCAATACGATCAAATACACCGACAGAGCGCCCCCTACTGGCTCTGGATGCTACAGTCTGACCAGACTCCCTCCCCCCGACTCTATAATTTCTGTTCAGGAATCAAACAGCTGGATGAGCAAAAATTCAAACTGGGACCAGCTGTGGATTCAGTCCTTTAGTTTCATGTTGATATTAAACTGAGTGAAAGCAGGCTGGCTTCATCTATGTGTGGATGAGTTAAGGTGTTAGTTTATCATCAAGTCTCCATGTGTCAGATTTTACTTTCAAACCACAGCAGCTGATCTGCAGGAGGAACAGTTCACTGATGGTTCACACTGGTTTCACTGGTTCAAGTCTGGTAGATTTCCAGCACATACAGCTCTGCATGTCTTACTTTATAATAATAATGTTTACAGCCTGATGATGTTTCTCCTCACAGCTGATTCATGATCTGATGTCAGACTGGTTATATGTGACTCTACTGTTGACAGTATCTTTATTAATACACATGAATACAATGATTCCTGATGATATGACATTAACAATAACAGAAACTCATAATATCCTCTAGTTAAGCCGTATGTCAAACTTCACTCCATGACACCTGCTTCCAGTCACCATCCTGCCATGTTGGTCTGCAGTGTCTATGACTTCTATCCCAGTAAGATCAAAGTGAGCTGGCTGAGAGATGGACAGGAAGTCACCTCTGATGTCACTTCCACTGAGGAGATGGCAGATGGTGATTGGTACTACCAGACCCATTCACAACTGGAGTACACACCCAGGTGAGTACTCCAGTATACTCCGGATTACCACACAAAGATCACTACTCTCCTCAGTGACAACAATACCTATGAAGCCTTAAAGCGAGACCACACAAGCAGCTACAAAAGAAAGTTATAGCTTGCCTTCAAGACCTTGAAAAGGACAAAATCATTGACCGCCTCACATATCACCGCCTTTACCCAGGCGATGCCATACCCTGCATAAACTGCATAGCATAAACTCAGCCACTTATAACATTGCTAAACACCTTGCTACCATCCTTGCTCCTCTCGTGGGGAACACCCCACACCACATCAAGAACTCCACCGACTTCACCGACAAGGTCCAGAAACTTCCCCTGGATCCAGATGAAACCATGGTGTCCTTTGATGTAGTCTCTCTCTTCACTTGCATACCCACCACGGAGGCCGTGGAGACTGTCAGAAAACGACTACAAGAAGACAGCTCCTTGGAGGACAGGACCAACTTCACACCCGATCAGACCTGCACACTGTTAGACCTCTGCCTCACCACCACATATTTCAAATGATCAAGTGATCAAGATGGCGCCGAGTATGGCAGCCTCGTCGCGAGCTCCCCCAAGCAACGGCTTTCTTCTGTGTTTAATTTTACTTTTCCTTTATTTTTTCACGAGCAGCACTTGTCTCCTTGTGTACGACCGACAAACCTTACTGGACATAAAAGACGGTCTTTCTTATAACTTTCCGGAGTTCAAGTTTTGCAACACGGACGCTCCGTTTGCAGACCCCCCATTCATCTCACCTGAGACGCCTTTGTTCTCTGGCCCTGGAGGCCGCAAACGCCGACGCAGAGGGAGAAGATCTGGCGTTCTGGTTCGACTGAGACGGCGCACTAACAGACCACCGTTACCCAGTTTATTACTGGCTAATATGCAGTTTCTGGAGAACAAGCTGTGCGAGCTTCGGGCACGGATCTCATTCCAGCGAGAGATGCGGGACTGCTGCGTGATCTGCCTCACAGAAACCTGGCTATCGGACAAAGTACCGGACTCCGCAATACAACTGCCGGGGTTCTCCGTGCATCGCGCAGACAGGTCACAGGATCTTACTGGGAAAAGCAGAGGCGGTGGTGTGTGTTTCATGATCAACAACAGCTGGTGTGATTATGCGAACGTGCACCCGGTCAAATCCTTCTGCTCACCGGACCTGGAGTACCTGATGATTAAGTGCCGGCCATTCTGGCTACCGAGGGAATTTACAGCAGTGATTATTACGGCTGTTTACATTCCCCCACAAGCCGACACTGACCGTGCACTCAGGGAACTGTACAGCGCGATCAGCAGCGAGGAAACCGCACACCCAGAGGCAGCGTTTATCACAGCCGGGGACTTTAATAAGGGAAACCTGAAGAAAGTCTCACCAAAACTCCATCAACACATCTTTTTCAACACACGTGGAAACCGGCTACTCGACCACTGTTACACCTCTTTCCGGGATGCGTACAAAGCCCTCCCCCGCGCCCCATTCGGCCAATCAGATCACTGCTCCATCCTGCTCCTGCCCGCCTACAGGCAGAAGCTGAAACAGGAAGCTCCAACCCGGAGGGCGGTGCACTGTTGGACAGACCAATCGGAGTCTGCGCTGCGGGACTGTTTTGATCACGCGGACTGGGAAATGTTTCACGTGGCTGCTAGGGACATTGATGAGTACACAGACTCAGTCTGTGGATTTATCAGGAAATGCGTGGAAGATGTCGTCCCATCCAGAACAGTCAAATCCTTCCCAAATCAAAAACCCTGGATTAACGGAGATGTTCGCGCGGCACTGGCGGCACGGAACACCGCCTTTGCCTCCGCGAACACATCGGACTACAAACACGCACATTACCAACTCCGGAAGACGATCAAAGCAGCCAAACGTGAGTACAGGGACAGGGTGGAGCAACAGTTTGACAACCCTCGGAGTATGTGGCAGGGACTAAACACGATCACAGACTTTAGAGGGAAAACCAGCACACCGCAGACCACGGCCTCTCTGTGTGAGGATCTAAACGTATTCTACGCTAGATTCGACGCAGCGAACACCATGAGACCGGACAGTTTGCGCACCGCGGATGACGTCAGTGCGCACACTGTGTCTGAGGAGGATGTGCGGAAGTGCTTCAGGAAGGTGAACGCACGCAAAGCTACTGGTCCGGACGGGATTCCCGGCCGCGTCCTCAAGTCATGCGCGGCTCAGCTGGCTGGAGTGTTCACGCACATCTTCAACCTTTCCCTCTCTCTGTCTGTAGTCCCAGCCTGCTTCAAAATGGCCACCATCGTCCCTGTACCCAAATCCTCCACCATCTCCTCATTGAACGACTGGCGACCTGTAGCCCTGACCCCCATCGTAAGCAAATGCTTCGAGAAGCTGGTCAGGGACTTCATCCGCTCTGCACTACCCGACTCACTGGACCCTCTACAGTTCGCATACCGCCACAACAGGTCCACTGATGATGCCATAGCCCTGACACTACACACTGCCCTGTCACACCTGGAGAAGAGAGACACGTATGTGAGGATGCTGTTTGTAGATTACAGCTCAGCATTCAATACCATCGTTCCCTCGAAGCTGGACAGGAAACTGCAGGATCTAGGACTGAGCAGCTCCCTCTGCAGCTGGATCCTTAGCTTCCTGTCTGACAGACGCCAAGTGGTCAGACTGGGCAGCATCACCTCATCCCCCATCACACTGAACACTGGTGCTCCACAGGGGTGTGTACTGAGCCCTCTCCTGTACTCACTCTACACCTACGACTGCACAGCCACTAACAGCTCCAACATCATTGTGAAGTTTGTGGACGACACTACAGTGGTGGGTCTTATCACCAACGGTGATGAGACGGCTTACAGGGAGGAGGTCAGCGCCCTGACCCACTGGTGTCAAGACAACCATCTCACCCTCAACGTCGCAAAGACAAAGGAGTTGATAGTGGACTTCCGGAGGTGCAGAGAAGTACACACCCCCATCACCATCAACGGCGCTGCTGTGGAGAGAGTGAGCAGCTTCCGGTTCCTTGGCGTACATCTGGCTGAGGATCTTACGTGGTCAGTACACACAAACAAAACAGTGAAGAAGGCGCAGCAGCGCCTCTTCTTTCTCAGGAGACTGAAAAGATTCGGCATGAGCCCCCGCATCCTCAGGACCTTCTATCACTGTGCCATTGAGAGCATCCTCACTGGATGCATCACCACCTGGTATGGCAACAGCACCGCCTACAACTGCAAAGCTCTCCAGCGAGTAGTGCGGTGCTCTGAACGGATAATTGGAGGTGAGCTTCCCTCCCTCCAAGACATCTACAGGAAGCGGTGCCTGAGGAAAGCGGGGAGGATCATCAAGGACTCCAGTCACCCCAGCCATAAACTGTTCAGACTGCTTCCATCAGGAAGGAGGTTCTGCAGCATCCGGTCCCGTACCAGCAGACTGAGAGACAGCTTCTTCCACCAGGCCATCAGACTGCTGAACACTTCATAGACACCTCAGCTTCACTACTGGAACTTAACATTATGCACTCCATACTGTACAGTAATGCCACTGTTTTGCACATATTCAACTCTGTATATTTTTATATATTTTATTTTATTATTTTTTACTATTTAATTTGTAAAATGTGTACACACACACACACACACACACACACACACACACACACACACACACACACACACACACGTAGGAAAATATTTAGTATACACATCCAGAAATGCATACACTATTATATATTGTACATATATTTATTAGTTTCAGGTTGGCCATTCTTGTATTTTGCTCGTTTGTGTTGTTGTGTTTGCACATCTCTGTTGCTTGTGGGGCTCGCACACAAGAATTTCACTCGCATGTGCTGTGCCAGTGTGCCTGCACATGTGATGTGACAATAAAAAGTGATTTGATTTGATTTGATTTGATTTGAAATACAACGAAGGCTTTTACAGACAAAAACATGGCTGTGCCATGGGCTCCCCCGTGTCACCTATTGTAGCCAACCTTTACATGGAGGAAGTGGAAAGGAAGGCTCTTGGCTCTTTCAAAGGAAGAGTACCCAGCCACTGGTACAGATATGTGGACGACACCTGGGTCAAAATCAAGACACAAGAAGTGGAATCCTTCACTGCGCACAATAACGCTGTGGATAAAAACATCAAGTTCACCAGGGAAGACACAAAGGACGACTGTTTGCTTTTCCTGGACTGTGCTGTGCACATTGAAGAGAACGGCAAACTCAACATCGAAGTTTACCGGAAGCCCACACACACGGACCAGTACCTCCTCTTTGACTCCCATCACCCTCTGGAACACAAACTTGGAGTAATCAGGACCCTACACCACCGGGCAGAACATGTTCCCTCTAAGCCTGAAGGGAAAAAGAAGGAACACACACATGTAAAGGAAGCACTCAAAACGTGCGGCTATCCTAAATGGGCGTTTTTAAAGTCAGCAAACAGGCACAGAAAAGAAGATCAGACACCAGCGAGGGAGGATAAGAAGGACAGACGCATGTCTGTGAAGGTTCTCAGTCATCCAGGTCATCGTAGTCTATGGAGCTTGCAAAGAAAAGCGTCTGGACTTCTTTGAGTTGCTTGAAGACGTCTCACCTCTCATCCGAGAAGCTTCTTCAGTTCTAAGGTCAAATGGTGGAGAGTCCCAGATATAAACCCAGTGGGAGTTTCCCCCCACAGAGGGAAAAGGACCCCCTGATGATCCTCTATCTAATGAAATGAGCCGAGGTGTGAAAACGGGTGTGGGTCCCAAGCAGTCAGGGTTTTGGGTGAGCTCATTGTGAAACCTGGCCCCACCCTATCATGTGATTTCCTGAGATCAGATGGGCCAGGATGTGAGTGGGCGTTAAGGCGTCTGGGAAGGATCTCAAAACTGGATTATAGATGGCAGACAGTTGGTGTCGTAAACCCCGCCTCTGTTCAAAGATGGTCGCTCACAGTGGACATAGATGCTTCTTTCAGTTTTCTTTCGTGGTGATCGTGGCTCAAAGAGTTGGCAGTTCATCTTGTAACTGGAAGGTTGCCGGTTCGAGCCCCGGCTCGGACAGTCTCGGTCGTTGTGTTCTTGGGCAAGACACTTCACTTGCCGCCTACTGGTGATGGCCAGAGGGGTCGATGGCACGATATGGCAGCCTCGCTTCTGTCAGTCTGCCCCAGGGCAGCTGTGGCTACAACTGTAGCTACCTCCACCAGTGTGTGAATGCGAGAGTGAATAAATAGTGGCATTGTAAAGTGCTTTAAGGGCCCTGAAAAGCGCTGTATAAATGCAATCAATTATTATGATTTTCAAACCCTCAAACAGAAACTGGTTCACCCGAAAGATAAAACGCCAAAACACAGACTTAACAATGTGGTGTTTGCTGTACAGTGCAGTGAGGAATGCTCAGACCTCCACACTGGAGAGACCAAACAGCCACTTCACAAGCACATGGCACAACATAGAAGAGCCACCTCCACAGGACAAGACTCAGCAGTCCATCTGCATCTTAAGGATAAAGGACACTCTTTCAAGGATGCCAATGTTCACATTTTGGACAGAGAGGACAGATGGTTTGAAAGAGGAGTGAAAGAAGCATCTATGTCCACTGTGAGCGACCATCTTTGAACAGAGGCGGGGTTTACGACACCAACTCTCTGCCATCTATAATCCAGTTTTGAGATCCCTTCCCAGACGCCTTAACGCCCACTCACATCCTGGGCCACCTGACCTCAGGAAATCACATGATAGGGTGGGGCCAGGTTTCACAATGAGCTCACCCAAAACTCTGGCTGATTGGGACCCACGCCCAGTTTCACACCTTGGCTCAGGCGATTAGAGGATCATCAGGGGGTCCTTTTCCCTCTATGGGGGGAAACTCCCACTAGGTTTATATCTGGGACTCTCCACCATTTGACCTTAGAACTGAAGAAGCTTCTCGGATGAGAGGTGAAACATCTTCAAGCAACTTAAACAAGTCCAGACGCTTTTCTTGCCAAGCTACGTAGAATGAGGTCCAGGAGCGCCATTTCTGATGATGGAAACCTGAACAATTTTTAATATGAGGTCTGCAAGTTTAAATGTTAAAAGTTTAAGATCTGAGAGTCACTGATGTTTGTGTTGAAGGTCTGGGGAGAAGATCTCCTGTAAGGTGGAGCACGCCAGCCTGGAGAAACCTCTGATCACTGACTGGGGTAAATACCTGTCTGTATCTACACACCTGTACACACCTGTACATACCTACCTGTCTGACTCTCACCTGTGTGACTCAGATCCCTCCTCGTCCATGCCTGAGTCAGAGAGGAACAAGCTCGCCATCGGAGCCTCAGGACTGATCCTGGGTCTGATCTTATCTCTGGCTGGATTCATCTACTACAGGAGGAAGGCCCGAGGTCAGAGCAGGACTCTCACTCACAGACCAGTTCATACCTGAAACCAGTTTAGAACCAGACAACTGTTAGTTACATTAATGTTTCAAACACAGGTTTTTACTGTTTTTTGGAGGACTCTCAGACCTGGTTCAGGCCCTGAAACATGAAACTTTACTGAATCATTGCCATTGATCTGTTAAAACCAGTGTCCATGGTTTGTTTTCAGAGTGTGTTGGTGACTGTGTCCTCATCTCTTCTTCTTTCAGGTCTTATCCTGGTTCCCACTAACTGAGCCTGGGTCCTGGTTCTGTCTGATGTTATAAAATCTGCTGTTTCCTGTGTTCAGCAGACTGATGATGATGATGATGATCTCTGTCTGGACTCTAAACCGATCCAGGACCATCTCAGTGTTGTTGGTGGTTGTTGTGGTTTTACTGGGAAGCTTTTGGACCATGTTTAACATGGACTCTTGTGTTTGATGCTTTATGTGCACGTCTGCTGTTTAATCCATGTGATGTAATCCCTTTAATCCATGTGTCTGAATGATTTGGGTGTTTCTGCTGTTCTGATTACCATAGATGACAGATTTTTACTGGAGGTCATTGTTGCAAAATAAATGACTCAAACTTTGAGCTGTGTGTTTGTTTACCTGCATCCTGTTAATGTCAACCTGAGGATTGAATTATTGTCACAGAAACCAGTCTGTAGACCAGTTTTAACCAGTTTAAGTAAATAAATAAATTATCCATCCATCCATTCGCTTCTGCTTCTGCTTTTCAGGGTCGCAGTGAGGTGCTGGAGCCTATCCCAGCTGTCATAGGGCGAGAGGCAGGGACACAGGGACAGACAACCATTCGCACTCACATTCACACCTAGTGACAATTTGGATTATCCAATTAACCTATCCCCACAAGCTGCATGTCTTTGGACGGTGGGAGGAAGCCGGAGTACCTGAAGGGAACCCACAAACACGGGGAGAACATGCAAACTCCACACAGAAAGACCCCGGCCTGATGTTGGAATTGAACTCAGGACCTTCTTGCTGTGCGGCAACAGTGCTAACCACTGTGCCACCGATAAAAATAAAAATAAATAAATAAGTTAATTAATTAATTAAATTTTAATTATATAGCACCTTTCTAGATAGAATCACAAAGTGCTGCACATAAGATAACAAGTCATAAAAATAAAAAAGAGTATGATTTTACCTAATAAGTAAATTTGTGACCCACCACACAATTAGATTTATACTGAATATAAAAAATAACTCATAATCAGTTGATAACAATTTGGTCAAAGTTAATCACGTAAACATATATTTAAAATTTATATTCTGTACCTTTAAAGAAGCCAACAAAGTCCTTTCATGATTCATTTTAACATTGCTGCAGTTTTAATGTTCAGATAATGATGTCAGGGCAAAATGATGAAGTCCAGATTTCTGGGTGGATATGATATCAATGAAACCAGGCGTGAACATTTGATTAAGAGGCCGGGGTTTATCCAACAACACTGACTGTATCACAGGATTAAAGCATAAATCACAGGATATCAGTTTGTATACAACAATGAATGTCAGCTGACATATTCACACAGTGACTTTGTTCAAACAACTGAAACAAAACGATTAACACTGAAGTGTTTATAACTGTTAGGGTGCCTGGGTCGTTGACCCGAGTTTTGAGTTTATTACATTATTTATCGTTTCTAGTCTTTGGTTTCTTTGTTAGAGTTCTGTCTTATGGTTTACGTCTCTGTTCCCTCTGTTGCAGTGTCTGCCTGTGAGTCTGTGTCTGTAAGTTCAGTCTGTTATGTTTCCTGTTTTACTTTGAAAGTCCGTGTCTGATGTTAATGTGTCTGGTTGTGCTTCCTTTGTCTCGTTAGGCCTGATTTGCCCCCAGAGTTTCATAGATCAGTATTATGGGTATGTGCAGATATATATAGCTAGTCAAGTGGGGGGTGGCAATAGTAATTCTGGACTTTATGGAAAAGATTGGGAAGAGAATTATTAATGGATTGTCTGTGTTTACAGGAGAAATGTTAGCAATTCTATTAGCAGTACAGTGGGTGGAAGATTTGAGGCCGCTGAAAACAATTATTTGTTCAGATTCAAGTGCAGCCTTGGTTTTGTCTACATGTAGCCGAGTAGTAAATTAATAATAATAATTTCCATTTCAGTTAACCAGGCTACATACAGACTGGTCACTCGAAAGGTAGGTCAGATATTTTATTAGAGGTTCAGCAAACTCTTTTCAGGATATATACGATGGGTCTGTCAGTAGTGTTTGTATGGGTCCTGGCTCACTGGGGTAAGGGGGAATGAAGCAGCGGACAGGTTAGCAAAGGCAGCCACTAATCATGAGATAGTTGATCTGGCGGTGAATTTTGGTCAGGAGAAAGAAATGAGGGGTAGATGGCAGAAACCGTGGGAAGAAGACAGGAGGGGAAGGTGGTTATATAAAATCCAAAGGGGGGTGGGAGTGAGGAGAGCCACAAGAAGGAGTAGGCGAGAGGAGGTGGTGGTGTCAAGACTGAGATTTGGACATATGGTTTGAATTCCACACTGTTCTTGATAGGGAAGCATGCCTCGGGGAAATGTGATTATTGTGGAGAGGATGAAACTTTGGAGCATGTTATTTTGCAGTGTCAGAAATATACGGTATAGAGGAGACGGTTGGTCCAAAATCTCAGTAGCATTGCTATGAAGCTTGATCTTGTAGGGTTAGTACAGAAGGAGTCAGGGGATAAATGTTATCAGGCTTTTTTTCAGTTTTTGAGAGAAGAAGAAGAAGAAGAAGAAGAAGAAGAAGTGTCCGTGTCGCGGACCGCGAACAAGTCCAGACGCTTTTCTTCCAAGCTCCTTAGACTACCCTTATCTACCCTCATCTTGCTGTGTGTTCTGTCTGCGTGAGATTATTTTGTATTCTCAGTTTTGTTACCCTTTGGAGTTCAGCGTTAAAGCTGTTTAAGTTCACGTTTTGTCCAGAGTCTGCACTTTGGGTCCTTTTCCTGCCTGCACACAGCCGTCACATAACAGAGGATCGCGGATGGACCCCGCAGAATCTTCAGCCTTTGAGTTTAATGCTGAGATGGAGCGGATGATTAAGCTTCTTGACCGCATTGCCCAGGCCAAGGATTTGAGGACCATGGCGGACGGGCTAAGCGCGGTAGATGCTGTCATTCAGAGCATCCCTTGGCTAACTCAGTTTTCTATAGACACTGTGCTGGGCAGCTCCATAGCTGCCTGGAGGGAGCAAGTCAGGGCTGGCGAGCTTGATCTCTCTATTGCAAAGCACATGGACCAACGAGTCTGACCTGATTCTTTGGTGGGGCCCTGATGACTGTTAACAGGCGGAGCTCAACATACATTTCAGATATTTAAAGTCTAAGATGAGCTGAAACAGCTGCAGTGAACCATGGCTCTGCAGCAGTTTGTGTGCTGCGTCACTGTGCTGATCACTTTCTTCTGCAAAGATGAGATTTTTCTCATATTTTCTCACTGAGATTATATCAGGGTGGAAGAAGTGTGCAATGAACTAGAGGTTCAAATGTCGACTATTCTAACCCAAATGTTTCTCCTGGATACAAGGAGAGAGTCTGTTTAGTACTGATGTCATTGATTGATTGATGTCATTCAGCAGTGCTTCATGTTCACAGTAATCCACACGCTTTATTTGATATCAACAGTTCTGTCGTTGACACAGTGCAGACACGTCGTGTTGTCATGTTTGTGAGTGTAGTGAGTACACTGTGAGAACATTGGTGAATTATTTGAGCTAAACGTTTGACACCCAAAGCAACAACAGAGGTGACTCTGAGTTTGTCTCTGCAAAGATGTTGTTTCTTTCTTTAAAACAAAGAAATGGGACTTAAAGATGAACTGGTAGGTTATTGACAACAGTCAGCATTAAAATGTTCTGTTTAGTATGTGATCAGTTCTCAAGTTAGACGAACTCACGGCCTTCGTCGCCTGCACTGACCTGTTTCAGTCAACCAGTAAGACGTCACAATAACCAGAACTAAAGGGTAAAGAGTTAATTACTTTAGTGACTGCTTAATAAATTAGGGGTTAATATGTTTGGTTGACAGTCTGATCATTTACAACATTAAGTGCATTAAATTATATCTCTAAGAGGACCTGCCCAGCGTCACTTGGCATGTGACTCTGCAGCAGAGCTGTGTTCAATTCATTTAGAAGGAGGAAGTCGTCCTCAGCGTGATCGTCTGATCGGTATCAAAGGAAACAGCACAAACTAGTTTCTGGCTGTTTCCAGTAAGGTTCCCCAGGCTGGGCCTCCTCATGCTCATAAGGCAAATGTTTTCTTGTTAGCTGTTTTAAACACACGGAAACCTAAAGATTAACTGGGTCCTCTAAAAATGTCCTGTTTAGTTTCTGATCAGTTCTTCAAGTTGGAAAAAACATCACTGCTTACTTTCACATGTTTTCTGTGAAGCGGTTTAACAGATTTGTCTGTTTTCTCATTTTCAGGTTGTCCTTTGGATCAGCCCGGTAAGCATCCAAAGACATGTGAACCTTGTTCCTTCTGTCAGCTGTACAGTAATGACAACATGTGCACAGTGATCTCCACATTCGTTTCAGTGACACAGTGCGCTGACGTTGGTCTTTCTTTCATCTGTGAAATGATTTTGTCAGTAAAATCTTCCACTTTTCTGACACAGAGGAGGAAGATCTGTGGATCACATGTGCACCAGAGTCTTCAGATCCTTCTTAAAATAACATCCACATGAATGACAGGGCTCAGGATGCACTGATCAGTGTTACCTCTGTCTCTGAGTGGTTTCATGTGCTGATCTGTGTACTCGCTGTTAAACTGTGCGGTCTTTTCTTTTCTCAGCATGTGGCAGCAGGGCTGTGAACAGCAGCAGCATCACAGGAGCTCATGATGCAGCACCAGGAAGTTGGCCCTGGTTCGCTGTCATAAACCTTTTTGTTGGAGGGTCCAGTGGTGTTTTAGGAGGGTCTCTGATCAACGACCAGTGGGTGCTGACAACTGCATATGTACCTACGTGAGTTACTGCTGCAAGTTCACACTTTGTTGAGGAATAA